TGTACACATACAGTTCATTATTCATTAAAAAGACTAAAATAGTTACCAAAATGAATTACCTTGTCTAAACAAATTATAACCATGATCTAATAGCATTATCATTGTTTAGCAAGGACCATGGCACTGACTCAGGCTCGTCTTACCCGAGCTGGAAGACTTACAGCTGCATTAGGGGATGAACAGGTTCGATGGGAAGAAAGTATTTTGAATTTTGAGGCAGAGATTTCAAACATCACTGGAAACGTATTCATAGCTGCTGCTTGTGTAGCTTACTATGGGGCTTTTACCGCACATTATAGGCAATTGGTGAGTTAATTAAAATACCTATTTTCTCTAGACTATAACTTTTATTGATTTGACTTTTATTTTTATTATAAAGCTGATATGCTTCATAAAAACAGTTGTACATCATAGAAGCAGTTGTACATCTAAATAAATGCAAAATAATTTTTCCAAATATGGAGAACTCTAAACAACCTACACAGAGAAATCATGATTTTTCCCTGTTTGCTGTCAGTAGTCAAGAGTGACTTAGTGAACTGGATATCTTTTGATGCTGCTCTTTAAAATAATAGTCAAGATTAAACAGAAGGAAAAACGTGTAAATGGAAACTGCAACCTAGAATGGAAATAGTGATTTGGGAGCTAGCATTAATGCATCCTGCTCAGATCAAATATTTAAAAAAGAGGGAGAAGGAAATCCTCACCCTACCCTGCACAGATAATTGATAGTACTGAGTGTGCATTTGCAATTCCTCAGAAACTCTCTTTGTGCATGTATATGTATCTCCTCCTAGTTTTGGCTGTGCTAAAAAGGTTTACCGTTATGGGGATATTTTATAGGAAAGCAAAATATTTTATATTTTCATTTATTTTAGGAGAAATAGCAAATTGTTTACAGAAGTAATAGATGTCTCCAAAAACAAAAATATTTTCATAATTAGATTATTATTGTTGATTGCACAGTCATGAATGGATTTGACATTTTTGTCAATGCCAGTGGTCTTCAAGTGGTACTCCAGATGATGATGATGATGATGATGATGGTTTAATATAGCTGCCCACTCCAGTGGACTCTATAACTCAGTTCTTCTTACCTGTATTTGAACTTTTGTATCTCTAATAATCCCACTGACTGCTACCCAGCTATATTTCTATATAATTTTCCACTACCAAAGTCAGAAGCAATTGCGGAATAATCAGAAATCTGGTCCTACTCAGTTTGATCATCTCATTAAGAGAAGCATCTTTTGATTTATAAGATTATTTCTGTCCCAGAACATTATTATATCATTTCAGATCAGCCAGTTATATGGAATTAAGATTAGGCATTGTCTTTATTGGCCATCTGCCTGATTAATTCTCATGCAAACTTAGTTGTGGGACAAAATAATTAACATTTTTTATACTAACCAAAATGGCAGCTTTTCCTCACTTGTGTTTCCCCTTCAAATTAGTTAATAGATTGCTGGATCAAACAATGCCAAGATCTAGAAATTCCTATTAGTTCTGACTTCAGTCTTATAAATATTTTGGGAGACCCCTATGAAATTCGACAGTGGAACACTGATGGATTACCTCGTGATTATATTTCTACTGAAAATGGCATTCTAGTTACACGTGGGCGACGCTGGCCACTCATGATTGATCCTCAAGATCAGGTATTTATTTTAATCCATTATTCATAGTTGGCATATTCAGGAGGTATTATGTGGTTTGTTTTTATATATAAAACATATATTGCATGCAATTATTATTCAGTATTGTTGGTTAATGGTCCTTTAGAGCTCCAGCTTGCCTTCTAGGTTCTGGGTAGTATGTTCCTCCTGTTCCCTTTCCTGTCACTTTGCTCCGCTAGTTTGATTCTAGAGGGTAAGAAAAGAAGAAAGGCACAGAAGAATTTAGGGATTTGCCACTGCTTTTCTGAACACGCTGCCTCTGACTTTGCCAAACTGGATCATTGTCCCTCTGAACCTTCTCTCTGGTTCTGAGCCACAATTTGACCAATCTGTCACCATCATCTCCCTGGATTCTTTGAACCATCAAGCATCTCCTTCTCTCTCAATTATTGCATAAGATCTATCCAATTGCTGCTACCCTGTTTCTAGATCTGTTGGCTTTTTGGACACCCTGGTTTTCTTCAACCTTTTCATTAGCCCTGGAACTATTCAGCCTCTTCCTCTGGGCCCAGCACTCATCACTGTAATGTCTGGCAGTGTAATGGCAGCATGCAGCAATAACAACAACAAACAGCAATAATTGTTTAACCACCTAGAGTCATGTATTTGAGATGGGCGGCCATATAAATCTATAAAATAGAATAAAAATAGTCACAGTAGCAAACAGGGTCATGATTTGCTTAAAAAACAAGTTAGCTCCATCTTGATCCCCCCCCCCCCATGAAAGATAGTGGGACAAGATAGCCGTGTGAAAGAAAGGCCATAGTTGCTCTAAATTAACTAGACATCCTCTTGCTAGTAGCCTTTATTTCATCCTCTTCTTTCTCTGGATAGGTAGAACCAGGAATTTAGACAATAAAATTGATTAAACAATAGAGCAAAATTAAAATCTAATTATGTGATTGTACCTTCATTGCTCCATGGTAGGAGGCCATGATTACTGAAGTGATTCTCCATCAGGTGCCTATCATACTGCCATTGTAGCTTTTTTTCTTTCAACTTTATGCTACGAGCAAGAAGTAAGAAAGTAAGTTCCTACTGAGATGGGTGGTGACCAAATTTGAAATATATATAAATAAATTAAATAAATAAGTGCAGCCCAGAAGTTCAAGGCAATAGCTTAGCTGCTCTCATGAAAAGTTCCTTATAAAATCCTCATTCTTACAAGTGTCATGTAAGAGGAGGGCACCTCCTGAACCTTGCAGATTGGCACTGCCAATAGTGACTTCCTTAGGTATTCACCATATTTAAAAAGATACAATGCACTTTAAAAATTGGAGTGACCAGAAACTATATTTTTGGTTCTGCAAATCTTCCATAAAATAAGGATTGTGGATAGTAAAAATACAATTGCAACACTCTCTATGCTGATAGTATTCTTTCTTTCAAACCTTGAAAAAAAAATACTCTGCACTGGTAATTCTACCATTATTAAATGCATCAGATTTGAAGGATCCCTCTTCTGCTTGCTGTAACAATCCTTTCTCCTGTGACTGCTTGCCATAAGGGGAGGGTCTTATGTACCAGCCAGTGAAGGAAACTACTGTTGTATTCACCCTGATTTTACTTGCAAGAACTTGAGCGTAATTGAGTAATCTTGATTCGAATTCTCACCCTGCCTCTAATTATCACCCTGAAAAAACAAAGCAAGCTCCAGGCTTCGGTTTCACTCTGTGCTCATATAACAATCATAGAAATATGGAGGAAATTAACTTTTAGGGTCTGAATGTTTTAAGAAACAGAAGAAACAAATAAAAATGAACAGTCCTTTTTAGTCCTTTCAATCAAGATTTCACACTTAACTTCACACTTAATCTTTCTTTAATACACAGGCAAACCGTTGGATAAGAAACAAAGAAGCAAAATGTGGTTTAAGAATAATTAAGCTCACTGACTCTGGTTTCCTGCGTACACTGGAGAATGCTATTCGTCTGGGTTTGCCTGTTCTTCTAGAAGAGGTTTGGATCTTTTTGCATTTAAATATGATAATCTTGTTGTTTCTTTTATTTATAGCTGTTAGATTTATTCTGCAGGCTACAGTTGCTTGCTAAAAACTCCATAAGGAAAATCACTTTCTTAGCCCTCGGTGAGAATCTAAGTTTATGAGAATTCCATGTGAATGTGGGATATTGGATCATGGTTAGTAGCTTCAACTAGTTTATAGTGCAGTCCTTTTAAACCTGCATTTCTATACACACTCTCCTGAAAATAATTCCCACTGATCCCAGTGGCTTTTTACTATTCATTTCATTGGGACTTACTTGCAAGTATGTGTAGAATTGTAGGTTTAAAATAAATTTCTGCAAAACACTGTATGGCTGCCTTTGGCTCATCTTGCTTGAAGTGAAGTTTTAGCTAGAGATTTTTATGCAATCCCTACAGATAACAAATCCGTGAAGGGTTTTAGGAATTAGAACCTTCATTTTTTTTCAGCTCCACTGAGTAATTATACGCAAATTTTATTCTGTGGTTGAAAGTTGATGACTTAAATTATTAATTATCACTATATAGTTTTGTAAATAGGATTTTGTTTATTCTTTTTGTATGGTCATTGACAAGTTTAATGGGCAACACTCATTTATAGTATGTAAGCAGGGATGCAAAGATTGATCTTAAAAAATGGGCCGGGAAAAGGGTTGCTGAAACAGGAAAGAGGCAGGGTTCTTTTAATCCTAGCTGAGTTTTCTTTTCATTTTACAATCCTTGCATTTGTGTGTGTTTTTGATGACTTGTGTCTTGTTCTTCATAACTTTACCCCCTAGTCTATTTGATTAATAAAAGGCTTGATGTAGTCACTTCCCATCCTAAACCATAATCATATGTACAAGGGCGAGAGTTTACAAATGTTATAAAAAGAACTTGGCCTAAGTATTACATCATTCAAATCAAAGAGAATCTGAATTTGGTCAAGCAAGCTCTGTGTTTGCCTAGCTTACAAGACATACAAGACTCAGAGGTTTGTGCATTAGTTTACAGATTAAGTTAATCTTCTAAACTCTGATTAGCATCCAGGATTTCACATTTGCATGCTATTGATTTAGCTGTTCATCAGAGGCAGTAAGCATCAAAGTCCATGGATAAATAATTCAAGTTAGGGAAAACATGCAGAGCGTGGCTTCTGGAATTCTTTCCAACCCTTGTGCCCATAGGAGACATCTGTATAATGAAATAACTTGTTGTGTCATTGGGTGTACTCTCCCCTCGTGTTGGTTTTGCAAGTTTTTGTATATGCTTCACTTCAGATCCTGTGACCGGGGTGAGGGGATTGGCTTAGACTGAAGCAGTTGACATTGTAGGATTTCTGGTCTGTGCTTTTCTCCACAGCTCCAAACCAGATCCAGACTATTTTAAAACTCAGTTTTTCTTTTGCCAGCTTCTTCCCCAACACCAATCTGTTTCCATTCTATTCAGTGTTAACAGCATTATCCTGCTGAAACACATAGATCTGAGCTCTTTTGCTTCATTTCTTTTCAACATTCTAATGGGTTGAAAAGAATAAAAAAGGAGTAAAAAAAGACCTCGCTGTTTATAATTGTGAAAACCTGAAAATATTCTTTCCATTCTTTTTTGCGGAGAGATATCCTGAATCTTTGCAACCGAGCAAGTCCTCAGCTTTTTCCAGATTTACTGAATGACACTAATAGGAGACCACAGACTTCTTATATCAACGCCTGAGAGCCCTTCAGATGATGCAGCAGTTAATGAGTATGACGCACGAGTAAGGTTTGGAAACTTGGAACACTGTAGGTAGGGACAATTGTGCTGGTCTTTCCCACTTGATCAATTCCAAATTGAGAGGAAGATAGTTATATAATTTGCCATTACTTGCAAGGTTCCAGATTTCAAAATATGCATTCATATATATGCATCACTATATGAAAGTGCTGTGACTCAACTACAGCTGGCTATGGCTGTGAAATTTCGACCTCTTGTTCCTGACCGCTCCTAAGATGCCTAATGCACACCTGCTCTAGCTGATTTTTTAATTATTTTTCAAAATCATAATTGATAAAATGTATACTTTTCTTCTTTTTTAATAGATTAAAGAAACACTTGACCCAGCCCTGGAACCTATTCTTCTGAAGCAGACTTTTGTTTCTGGCGGAAGACTGTTAATTCGCCTTGGAGATTCAGATATAGATTATGATAGAAACTTTAAGTTTTATATGACAACAAAGATGCCAAATCCCCACTATTTACCTGAGGTATAATATTAATTAGATGTTGTAACTAAGCTGCAGTCCTCTATAAAGTTGTTCAATTGAGCTTAATTCTGAATAGGCAACATAAAATTAGACTCTAAGAATTTAAAAAGAGGCATGATTTTTTTCTTCACTCCATTAAAATATCTTGGTACTTTATATTTTGTTTACATTTAAAAATCAGTCTTTCCCTATCTAAATGAACAAAATCTATCTATAAGTTATACTGGGATTTTATTTTATTTTATTTTATTTTATATTTATTTATTTATTTATTTATTTATTTGGTACAATTGATAGACAGAGTGCTAATAGTACTTTCTGGGTTCCATGATTTTTGGAGGTTTTTTGTTTTTTTTTGTATATATTTTTCTCTAAGAAATGGGAACTATGAACATTGCTCAGCTTGTATCTTAATGTTTCTCAAGTTGTTCTATGGAGAAAAACGGGTTACAATTGGCAAATTGTTTATTTTCCTTCAGTTATATACATTTGAAAATGAACATAATTTGAATTTATGGTCAGTGGCCATAGTAACTATAGCAAAAAACCATAAAACCAGTTGTAACTTTCAAACACTCTCAACTAGAAGCTCCTACAAAGGTCATATATATGAGAGAAAGTGAGAGATAAGGAATACTGTATATTAAAGGAACGAACCTTCTCTCAGATAAATCAGTTTATTGTAGTAAAGCTATGGAACCATTATGAAATAATTCCAGCTATTATAATTAAATCACTGTTCAAATTCTTGTACCTCTTTCTCCTACACAAGCCATACAATGAGCTAGAAATCATAGTTTCAATTCTTTTTTGGTATCAGTTATCTAGTAACAGGCTGTTTACTTTTGATCATATGGGACCTAAGACATAATGTGGTTTGGTTTGGGCATAATGTGTTATGTGAATCTAGCCATGTTGATTTATAAATAATTTATAGCTTAATGTATTATACAGAATCAGCCATTGTAACTTTTTCAACAAAACATTGTTAAAGAAGCCATGGCTTAGCTCAAGCTGTGAACCAGCTAGTGAATGATCCAGTGTCTAGCTAAATATAGTTTACACCTTAATTTTCCATATATGAGTCAAATACAGTAGATTACGTAACACAAAGGAAGTTAAACTATGTATTACAGGTGACATTGGAAGGCTAAGGAAAAAAGCATTTTATGTTAAATTCTGTGTCCTACCCTATAATGTATCACAATACTTACCTTTTCTACCATATTATAATGCACATTTTAAATCTTCACTAATGATTTGAAACACAGTAGGGAAAGGTGCAACATAATGACATCACAGTATGAGAAGCGTTATATATTAGGAGATAAGGAAGAAGTAAGCATGGGGCTATTAATTTTGGTGGCATTTCCATGTCATCGTAAAAATATTTTGGTGCAGTATGAAATGTTTTATAGTCCAACTATGAAATAGAGAAATCAATTCAAGGCCACAGTTACTGTATAACTTTTCAGAAGTAATGAGCAGTGTAACAACAACTGAAACTGATAAAGAGTGTCATCTGTACTTCTGAATGTCGCATCTTATCAAAGTACATTAGCTTGGTTGGCTTGGCAACGAGCTGAGGAACATGAGCAGTTCTTGACTGCTTTGCAGAATCTGGAGGTATTTTAAGGAATTTGCAACCACAGTTTCAGAGTTCAAAATATTTATGAAATCTATTTTAATGTCATACAAAACCTTAATTGAGACTTATAGTTGAGTAAACATCCACCAGATTGCAATGTGAATTTCCTGTCATCTTTGAAGGGTCTTTTTTTTTTTTTGTAAAGTTCATTATTTTTATCTGAATATAACATTGCTGTTGACATTTAAGATCATTTTCTTTGTTGTTTTTCCTGTAGGTGTGCATCAAAGTAACTATAATAAATTTCACTGTTACCCGATCTGGTCTGGAAGATCAACTGCTAAGGTATTGCTTCTATTTCTTAATATAATTTTTTTGAAAATGTCTATAGCATATAGTGGGAGCCTGAATCTTATAGATCATGTGTAAATTCTGCACAGTTTCCCTGTGGCCTCAGTTATTATACCCTACATGAAGTAATATTAGTTTCTTTTATCATTGTTGCAAAGTGGACTTCTTATCATAGCCATGTTGCCTATATTAACACAATTATATCAAAATAAGCTCAAAGAAAGGGAACATCAGTAAGGTTCTGATCAGAAAATATAGGCAGTTGTCTGTTAAATAATAAGAGAGTTTGCCAGGCTGTGAAAAACTGCTCATATATATTCATTAATTAGATAAAAATGAAGTAGTGGAAACAGTTCTTTCCATATATTTTAAAAGATGGTTACATAGTATTTATTGGTAACACAAGCATGCATTTTGCTGAAGTGTGGTTTTGTGCTGATAAGCATTACAAGACAGACTACTCATGTTTTCAGGTATGGTAGTACCAATCTGTCCAATGAATTCGAATTAATTAATTAAAATCTCCTCTGTGCCCAAGGATCCAGCATTGAGATGCTGATTACTGTATCTCTGTGAGTTTCACTATTCTTTCCAGCTTCCATTCAGACTGTTGTTCCTGGAGAAAAGTAGTTCTGCCATTTTTTGTGTCTCTGGTGCTTTGTACTGATAAAAAGAGCAGAAAGGTTTGAAAAACTCCATTTGCGTAGATCAAAACAGGTCACCTTTATTCCTTATAGTTTCCAGACCATTTAACATGGCATTGACCCTGCCATCCTATCACTAAAGGTAGAGCTAAGGAAAAAGACCAGCTTAAAACAACTACTACTCCAGCCTTCCATTATCAACATAGTTGACATGCCATCCTTCTGTAATAGCTAAGAAACCTATGTTGAACTTAAAGGCCCACTTCTGGGAGGCCATGCTGAAAACCTGCTTAGCCCCAAACTAAGCTGTGGTTTAGTGGTTTTTGCCTGCCTCCCTAGAGCCAGTGCTAATTTTGACATTGCAGACCAAACTAGATGGGAACAAATGTTTTCTGCTGAGGAGACATTTTTCTCCTCCCTCTTCCGCCTTCATTGACAAAACAAGAGCCATGCCAAACAAGAGACCAAGTAAAGTTCCTCCTCAGCCCAATCTTTTAGTACCAAACTCTTAATCCATAGCAAACATAATATTTTTTAATAATTGGGAAAATTGATAGTAGGAAGATAGACATGAAAGCAGCTGATATCTGGATCAGGCACTAAGAAGTTCTTGGAGTTACATAAGATACTGAATACTTTTATGCATGTTTGTTGTATTCTATGTGGGAAATTAGAGTTCCAAATCATTGCTGCATAACTGTGTTTATTGTAAAAAAAATCATTGTAAATTTGCCCAGAAGCTTCCACTGTGGGACCCCTACACGGTTGGGAGAAGGCAATGAGACATTCATTGAAGAGTTAAATGTAATTTCCTGCTTTGAAGAACTCTGGTTAAGCCAGTTCATTGTGTTTATGAAGCTACAATTTGTTACAATATACACATGCCTGCTGAGTTTATGATTCCAATGCAATTTCTTGAATGAGACTGTTTACACATGACTGTAAGCAATTTTATCTTTATGTTGGTAGGTCTAATTTATATTTGGGGGGTATACAGTGAAATATTTCCAGAAAATCCTCTCTTTATTTTAAAGTTACAAGAAATTTAGAGACCTTCACAAGCAAAAAGCTATGTTACAGTATCATGTCAATATTCTTTAGGTTTCTAACAAAGCAAACTAGAAATTACAAAGAGTTTAACAATGATTGCAATAAAAAAGTAAGGTTACTAAAATCTTTCATGAATTACTTAAAATAAACCTAATAATTCTCCCTAAAGTTTTGAGGTAACTTTTGCCTTGTAGAAATAGTCAGTAAAGGCCTTGAAATATGTATAAAATGATTGAGCTCGATCTGGAACTATTACTCCAGCCTAACAGACAAAAGAATTCAGTTTTTTTTTAATAAGCGATACAATTTAGGTCAACTTTTCCATAATTAATTTCTTTTGTATCCAAGTTATATATAAGAGACAGTCTAGATTGCTTCCTTGAATGGGGGGGGGGGGCACCATGATTCAAAAAACAATATAATACATTTAAGGGTTTGGTATATTCTTAGTAACATGATTCAAAAGGATAATTGATATGGCTAAAGATATTTTCAGTGAAATTTGAGTGGCTTAACAATAAAACAGCACATACACACAAACAGATTGTTGAGAGACTGCAATTCTCAGAATTTCCACATCAGGAATCCTCAAACCAGCTTGAGTAAAAATGCAAAAAGATTTCAGTCTTCATATTTTTCAATGGTGGACAGATTGTTCTCTCGAATATCAGTGTATGGGTTTGTGACTGCAACAAACAAATTACTAATAATTATATAAACAAAAGTTAAAATTCTCACAAAATATATCACTCTACTTAACATTTGTCAAACGCTACCAGTGCAATGGAAAAAATACATTTATCTGGCAAAATGAAGATGGTTACTTCTAAGACAGCAGCATTGCTTCCCATACTGAAATTGTTGTCATCTCTCAATTTTATCTATAATTATACCCTTAGGGATTATATAAATAATAAATATTTTAAAATAAACGTATATAGACATAAATATTAATTCCTAAGCCTGTTTTCCAATAGTATTTAAAATGTCTTCTGTTTATACTTCTCACAGTAACTTTAATATAAATTGGAAGGTAAAAAGTAGGAATCTACACACACTTGCAGTATTATGACATGATTTGGATCATGTATTGCTGCAGGGATAAGAATTACTGGGATCAAATGCTTTCCCCTTTTTATGAGAGAACTGAGTAATCATGTTAGTTTTCCATCCAAGTTATATTAGAATTTTTCATTTCTTCATTGATTTCTAAAGACAGCTCTCACTTCTTGGGGAGTTTTAGAAATATGTTTTCAAAGAGAACTGATAATGGCTTCCTTTTCCAACTTCTTAATTGCATTCCCCTTCTTATTTTATTTTTCTCCTACAGGCAATCAGAATTATATACTCAAGCTCAGTTCACATTAAGTTGTTTTTTGGGGGAAGGGGGGGGGTTCTTCCCAAGCCTGCTGATCTTCTCTTTTGTGAATATCAGTTGTTTGTTTGCTGTAAAGCAGTTTTCCATCTAGCACTTAGGTGTCAGGGAGAGGGGCAAGTAATAAACATGCATTGTGACATTGTAGTGCAATTTCTATCCATTACATACTTGCATGCAACACCAAGATTCAAGTACAAAAGGATGGAGCTTGTGTTATAAAGTCAAGATACTCATTTTGGCATTATTGTGGCGGTGAACAACACCTATGTCCAGAGGATCAGAAACAGAAGACTTTTTTAATACTAAATAATAGTTAAAACATTAACATATTTAACTGTCATTCCAGTGATGTAGTGCGACTAGAGAGACCTGAACTAGAGGAACAAAGAACACAGCTCATTATAAGAATCAATGCTGATAAGAATCAGCTAAAAGCAATTGAAGACAAAATTCTAAAAATGCTTTTTACATCAGAAGGGAATATTCTGGACAATGAAGAACTCATCAGTACACTTCAAGAATCAAAGGCAGGAGGCATTTAATATATATATATATATATATGTATGTATGTATGTATGTATGTAGCCAAATTTAAGCATGCTTACAATCAAGGGAATTAAGCTTGTAGTTTTCAGTGAGTATATTCTAGTCAAAATTACATTTGTATGACAGGAATAACTACTGGTTTGAAACTGTGCATATTACAAAGTGGAAATAGTATCATTTTTCATTAAAATTCTTTCATTCTTGAATTTTCTGCAAACAATGGAATATCAAAAAAAGGATGACCTGTACAATCTCTTATTTATGCGAAGATCACAAATCAGTTTATTAAGCCTTATGTTACAGGGATATCATTGGATTTACAATATTTAGACACATCAGTAGCCAGCAACTACTTCAGATCATAGTCCTAATATTATAAAGAATCTCATTCATACATCAAGCCAATTTAGAGCAATTAATCCATCTTAGAAACATAGTTTCCATTTATATGCTAATAATCCCTTTATAACATGGGAAAAACATCTACATACTGTAACTAAATATGGTTTGAACACCTGAAAGTGATATACAAAAATTAAATATTATTATTGTTATTATCCATATTTTCCCAAATGGTGCAGCAATTTTTTTGTGTGAAAAATTTGTTCCAAATGTTTGAAATGAGCCAGTGGTATAGTGATTAGAAGCAACATTAGGAGCAAGGAGACTCGAGTTCAAGGTTACCCTCAGCCATGGAAGCTCACTAGGTGACTTTGGGCTCTTACTCTCAAATCAATCATTCAGGGACTTTGTGGGGGAAAGTTGGAGGAAGCCATTTTATGTATGCTGCCTTCAGAAATGGGGGGATATATGTCCTTAAATAAAATTTAAATTTATGCTTTTAGGTTACCTCTGGTGCCATTAAAATAAGGCTTGTAGAGGCAGAAACTACAGAAGAAAAGATAAATGCAGCTCGTGAAAAATATCGCCCTGTTGCCACTCGAGGATCAGTCATGTATTTTGTAATTGCAAGTCTTTCCGATATTGATCCAATGTATCAGTTTTCCTTAAAGTATTTCAAACAGGTTGGTTTGTTTTCTTTTAAGTGCATATTTCCATTAGCTATTTTTTTTCTCTTAAAAAATAGACACACACACACACATACACACCACCATATCATGAGTTTTGAAACTCAATTCAGTTACTAAAATGGTTTGCAATATGACATGCTTGATTGCTGATTGGGGTAACTACAGATAAAGTTGGTTGCATCATTTGTTAGATCCTGGTCTTTGTATAGGATAAATTGTCTGAAGAACTGGTGTAACATATGATACTAATTGCACACCGGCATTCCGGAAATAGTAGCAGTAATGTTTTTATTTTGAAAAACTATGGATGCTACTGGTATATTTTATTCAGGGGCACTTAATCTAAATTGAGCACTGCAGTGTTTTGATTTCATTTCCTTCTTTAGAGCGAATATGTATGAAATATTTGTATTTCCTTTCAGACGAATTCAAAATCTAGGTTCTGAGTCTAAGCAAAGTTTATATTGCTGCTATTCACTTTTAGTATTGAGGGGCAGAGAACGTGACAAATTGTTACAAGTAGTATTGTTGCTTAAATATTATTTCATTGTTAATATAGGATTCACAGCACTTTATGTTAGCAACTCCCAAATAATCCAAGGATTAATGTCATTTTATCTCCATAAGACAACTTCAGAGCTGGAGCTCTGTTGGCAATCTTATTTTCATATCATATCAAAAACTGGCTTTAAGACCTTAAATCCTATTATTATTATTTATTGTGGTTGGTCGCACAGTCATTTTTATCCACTTACTGAGTCCTTTCCAAGGACCTGGGATAGGCAGATGTTGTTTTATGGTGTTAAAGGTATCGTCGCAGGATATTAGCTGTTCCAAGTAAAGCTGCCTTTTCAATTGACTGATGGGGATTTTGTCAATGCCCATGGTCTTCAAGTGGTGCTCCAGATGTTTTGGGATTGCACTCAAGGTGCCTATTACTATCGGTACTATCTTTGCTTTCTTTTGCCATAGTGGTTCTACTTCTATTTGCAGGTCTTCGTATTTTGTGATTTTCTCCAGTTCTTTCTCTTCTATTCTGCTGTCTCCAGGTATTGCAATGTCTACTATCCAGATTTTTTTGTCTTTCTTATCAATAGTTGTTAAGTCTGGGGTGTTAAGTGGCAGGTACTTGTCTCTTTGAATTTGAAAGTCCTCAAGCATTTTAGCTTCTTCATTTTCTATTACTTTGTCTGTTTTGTGGTCCCACCAGTTCTTGC